AGGATTTTTTCTTTTTTTCAAAGACTGATAGGACACAGGAACCAGCTTGAAGGGGCTTCCAACCGGCCAAAATTTGGACAATTATTCAAAAAGAATGATGACAGTAAAAAAGAAGCCATGAGTCCACAGTGGTACTAAAAAGGACGAGGGGCTAGAAAAGTCCTTCTTTACAGAAGATGAAATCTAATAAATATAGATGGAATGATAAGATTTTTAAAACACTACTTTGCAACCACCAATGGAATAATTTATTTAGGCAACAATTATCAATGGATGCTAGAACTATCGGGGAAAGTTGTTGGAGAACGGGAAAGTCACAAAGTCTCACCTCACTGAAAGCTGATTATTTGAATAGGGAAAAATCATCTTCGTGGGGAAGAGAGCTGGTGGGTACCATCGTAATCAAGCGATCACATTTATCATCACCTATAACGGAACAGGTCGACAATATATACCTCCTGACGTGAAACAACGGCAAGTACTCAACAGCACCTACGTCATAGTCCTCCCAAAAATGTTAAACCTGGATCCAACCATGAATCCAATTATGAAGAGAAAATTAGCAAATCCAGATAATAGGATGTTGTACAAGACAACTGCTCTGACCTATTAAGAAATGTCAATGTCATGGAGGGAAAACGGGTGGGAGACCATTCTAGATGAAAGGAGGTGAAAGAGACGCGCCAACCAAACGCAGTGCATGACCCTTAGTTGAATCTTGGACAAAAAGAAATCGTAAAATCATTATTGGGACAATTGGGGAAATGTGAGTGTAGACTATGCATCATACAGTGATGTTATTATTGTCAATGTTAAATTTCTTGGGGGCGTTGGTCGTAGTATGATTATGTAGGAGATTGTCCTTCTTGCGCTATATATGATGACATATTTCAGAGTGAAATGCATGATATCTGCCATATACTTACAAATGGTTCAGCAACAGAGAAAAAATATCTATATTATGGAGAGAGGGAGAAAGTGACTCTGATTAAGTATTGACAATTGGCAAGTTCTAGGTGAAGTGTCTATGGGCGTTCATTGTACTGTTCTTTCACATTTTCTCTAGGTTTGAAATTAAAGGGAAAAATATCAATTCCACTACATGATATATATTTGTAAAGCTGATACAGCTATGTATTGCTAATGCCGGAAATCTTTTAGAAACTATTTGACTTTCCCTGTCCAGATCCCTAAAATGTACATATTCAGTGATCCTATTTCTTGGAATTTCAAAACGGGAAAAAAGCCATGGGCACAAAGATGTTCATTCCAAGTCAAACATCAAACAGTAAAAAGATGTCTAAACAAACAACGGTGCTCAGTTTCATGAAATATTGTCCAGTGATTAGAGTTATAATGGGAAACCATATAGGCACATGGAAACACTTAGGACAGACTAACTGCAGGGGGCAGTAGAGAGCAGCAGTACAAATCAGCCCCCAGTCAGACCGGGATTGTGCCCTGCAACCCACAACTTCTTAGATTTGTGATTAGGGACAAGCTACTGAACTCCTCTGATGCTCAGTATTTGAACCTATAAAATGGGAATAACAAACTTTACCTTTAAGATTGAAGTGAGGAGTAAAGACGTTTTAAGTCCTCACCACCATTCCTGGACCTAGCAGGTGTCACTGTCATTACTTTATCACTTCTGGCAGCAGGAGTCATGTTGGAGGTACTAACTTTGCTGGCAGGGGGAGCAGCAAGGAAAAACACGTGGGCTCAGGAATGCATAAGGACTAGCGAGCTCTGCCGCGGCTGAAATGAGATCTGTGAGGAAAGCAGTGTGACGAAATTGTTCAGCTAAGTCGAGGCCAGCTTCTGGAAGGCTCTGGATGCTTGCATAAGACCTAGGACTTGCTTCTGCGGTCAGTGGGGCGTCTCTGAAGGATGCTGCCCCACCCCCTGCCCGCCCCACAGCAAACAAGACCTGCTTTAGGGAGAGAAACCTGGCGATAGTAAGACAGGTGTTCATCCCCTATCTAGGAACCACACACAGGATGACTGCAGGTGCAGGACAGGGCAAGCTGTGAGGAGGTCCTTAAAGTTGTGTTTAGGGGTCAACTTCATGGCCTCCTACCTTTCTTTTCAGCCCCTGGACCACACTAGCTGCAGCTTTGATCTGTAATTGCCTGTCCTTCCCTGCAGATGGCGCCAAGGCCCGGGAACTGAGGCCCATTTCTGTTAGACCCCAGCTCTTCCCTCCTAAATCGTAATTCCAGAAATGCAGCCCCCTGCCGCTCTGCCTAGGTCTGACAGAGAAAGCTGACCCCGTGCGGTTTGAGGGACGGGGGAGAGGCATCCCAGACTAAAAAGAGCCTCCGTGTCTGCTCACAATGGCCTGAAAGCCAATAGATAGGAGATACAGACAGATGATAGACAGACCTACTGACACACAGACAGTCAGACACACATCAATGCTGGACCTCATCCAGGCCAGTTGAATTCGAATCTACGTGAGGCCCAAACCTGGTTTTTAAAAACGTTTCCCAAGTGGTCCCAATGCGCACCCAATGATGAGGACCGCTGCTCTAGGGGCTTGTCCTTCACCACCTTAATGACCAAGTCCAGACCATCACCAAGCTGGAAACATTCTAAAAAGTTAAAGTGGAGAGGATGGAGGATCTGAGTACATGCTGGGTGGACGAACATGCTCCAGGACTAGGAAGGAACACGTTTCTAACTTCTTTCTTGTAATAACCCACGACCAGCCTAACGTGGGGAGACAGAAACTCAGCACTGAGCCCCCCGTGTCCACAGTATTAGCTCACAGTTTCAATTAGAATCCAAGGGTTCTGGGGCCGGCGCGGTGGTGCAGTGGTGGTTAAGTTCACACATTCTGCTTCGGCGGGCCAGGATTCGCCGGTTCGGATCCCGGGTGTGGACATGGCACTGCTTGGCACGCCATGCTGTGGCAGGCGTCCCACATATAAAGTAGAGGAAGCTGGGCATGGATGTTAGCTCAGGGCCAGTCTTCCTCAGCAAAAAGAGGAGGATTGGCAGCAGATGTTAGCTCAGGGCTAATCTTCCTCAAAAAAAAAAAGAATCCAAGGGTTCTATAAACACTAGGGAAACTTTAGCGAGTTCAGTCCAACACTCTCATTCTCTGATGTCTCAGATCCAAGTAAAGGTGTTATTCAGATAGTCATTTTGTGTTTATTGAATGGCTACTATGCCCCTGACCCCGTCCTGGTGCAGATACACGATCCGTATCTGCACTCATTCACAGAGCTTACAGTCAGGGCAGGGAGCAGATGTTCAGCTTTATTCAACAAATAAATGTTGCAGGTTAGCAATTTAAAAAATAATCTTTTTTCTTTCTCCCTAAGTTGCCTCAGACTCCAGCAAATCTCGCTTGACGGTGCAGCCTTCCATGGCTCTTGCTCTGCTCGTCTCGGCCTCACTTGGCTCTGAAACCACATCACCCCAGCTCCAAGCACGACTCAACCCTCTACCTGCTGTGTGACATTGAGCAAGTTTATTAATCTCTGTGCTTCAGTTTCCTCACTTGCAAAATGAGGATAATAATATTGTTAACACGTAATCAAGCTGTTATGAGGATTAAGGAATGAAGGAAATCATAAAAAGTGCTAGATAGTTTCCTCCACATAAGTCTTTCGTGGATTTATTCCTAGATTCCTTACTTTTTTGTTACTACAAATGAAAATTTTAAATTTTAAATTTCACTTTTTCTAACTACCAGTTGTTGGTATATGAAAATACAACTTATTTTGGTATATTGTAAATTTATTACTTTTAATAGCTTATAAATTTCCTTAAATTTTCTATGTATACGGCCATGTCACACTTGACTGATGACTCTTTCGTTCATTCTCTTAAGATCCTCATCCCTTTTATTCCTTTCTTGCCTTCCGTCCTGGCTAGAACATCCCCTGCAACGCTCAACTGCAGGATGAGGGGGGCCTCGTGGTCTTGTCCCTGACCTGACCTGAGGAAACACTTCAACATGTCACTATTCAGTATCAGGTTTGCTAAAAGCTTTTGTTTTTATTTCTTGTAGATAATCTTTATCAAATTAAGGAATTTCCTTTTTCATCCTCTTTACTTAAAATCTTTATGGATGTATAGAATGACATTTCTCTATCTATTGAGTTTCACATGATTTTTCTTCTATAATCTATTATTGTGGTGAGTTACTACTTAATGACTTCCAAATGTTAAACCATCCTTGCATCTCTGAAATAAATGCACGTTTTAGTCTTCTGATATATTGTTGGATTCTGTTGGATAATATTTTAAGATTTTTGCTTCTCTGCACATTTCTTTTGAGATGAGTCTGTGATTTTCCTTTCTTGTCCTCTCCTCAAATTTTGGTTTCAAGATTATGCTCTCTCATAAACTGAGTCGGAGTATCCCCTCTTTCTGTTCTCTGGAATAGCTGGGATGCCCTCCTCCTCAAACGCGAGTGAGGACGTGACCTGAAGCCTTCTGTGTCTGCAGTTTCCTTTGCGGGAAGATGTGTGATCACTGACGCAATTCTTTGAACGGCATGAAGCTATGAAGGTTTTCTGTTTCTTCTTGAGTCTGTCAGTTTGCATTTTTGTAGGAATTTTATTTCAGTTTCCTAATTTTTGGCAAAGATCCTTAAAATATCACATTGTTATCTTTAGACAGCCCGCAGCATCTGTAATCACGTCACTTTTCTTAGCCCTGAGATTATTTGTGCCTTTTTTAATCGATGAAATACACCACAGGCTAATCAATTTTATTGGTTTTACTAAAGAAACAATTTCTGGCTTTGCTGATCATATCTATTATGCTATTTCATTAATTCCTGCTTTCATCCTTACATCCCCCCTCCCTTTTAGGTTCTTTGGAATGCCTTTGCTGCCCTAGCCGTTCCTCCTTGGAATTTCCCAGGCTTCACCTTTTCACACCCTCATTGCCTATAAATTTCTAAATCCTGAGTTTGCTGTATCCTACAAGTTTTGATATATGGTACATGCTTATAGTTTAACTCAAAATACTTCTAATTCTCATTATGATTTCTTCATTGACATAGTTTATTTGGAGGTATAACTTTTATTTTTTGAACATACAAAAATTTCTGGTTATTTTTTGTTACTTATTTGAAGCTTAAAAGCTAAAGTATGGTCATAGATTATATTCTATATAATTTCAATACTTAAAAAAATTGTTTAAACTTGCTCTAGGGTTTAGTGTACAGCCAATTAAAAAAATGTTCTATATATGCTTGAAAAGGATGTCTATTTCACAGTCCTATGGTGCCGGGTTCTATATATTCATCAATCAGAACAAGTCTGTTATTAGCTTGTTCAAATCTTCTATAACCTGCCTGATTTCTTCTGTTAATTCCTGAGAGAGATATGCTAGAAGTCTTCCCAACATGATTGTGAATTTGCCTGTTTCTCCCTTAGGGTCTTTCAATTTTGAGGCTAGTAGAGGGAAATAACAGAGTGATTACAACATTGCTGATACAAAAGGCATCAGGGAAGAAGAAAAAAACCTCAGAACAGGTGGGACAAACATAAAGCACAAAATAAGATGATAAACATGTCAGTAATCATGTTACATGGAAATGGATTAAGGGCTCCAAGGAAGGAACAAAATTTGTCAAGCTGAATTAAAAACTAAAATCCAACTACAGGATGTCTACAGAAGCCACATCTAAAACACAACACACAAAAAAGTTGAGAGTGAACAGTCTGGTCTGCCAGGTGCCCAAGGTCCTTAGGAGGGAGCAGTGACATCAGGAGTGGAGGAAGTGAACTGTGGCCCCTGCACCCCAACCCCATGGCGGCCTCCCTTCCACTGGACCCCTCGGGGGAGCCCTGGAGATGGGGGGAGGGGGCGTCTTCTCTGACTCTGACAGGTGGAAGCGGGACCCTCCCCCTTTCCCCGCCTGACAGAGGAAGGTGGAGACAGAGCACTTCAAGGGCCCCTGACGTGAGCCCCGTGGGGAGAGGTTGGCCAGGACGTCTTCTGGCTCCTTCCAGGACGGCGGCAGGCAGAGCCAGAGCCTTCTCTGCCCCCCACTCCCAGACCCCCAGAACCCCTGAGTTCAAAAGGTCCCTCAGTTTCTCCCATCAAAGTGACATTTCCTCCTCAAACCACCCCATGAAGTAGGTGAAGGAAAAGGACACAGTCCTAAACTCCACAGATTTTTCACCCGATCAGTGACTCTAGAAGGCTTTTCAGTGAACAGTTGTGAAAGGGTTTTCTTCGTGTGGCAAGGGACAGGGCCTGGGAAACTAACTCCTGTGGGACAAACATGACTGCGGAGTGGGGAGCTTCTTAAAATTTTATTACTTATTTTCCACATTCTTAAAAAAAAGGATTGAACTTCGTATATGGTCCGATTGGATGTGGACTACTGAACCTGGGGACACTGCGCATCGTCGTCTGCGCAGCAGGCGGGGGTTGGAAGGAGCTGGGCCCTGGCTGTGAGGGGACATGCCAGGGCTGCCAAGCACAGCACCCTTCTCAACTATCAGTCAAAAGCTGTGTGATCGTGAGCAAGTGACACCCTCTGAGCTCGTTTGCTCCTTTATGTCTGCTGCAGAGGGTTTGTGCGATGGCTGATGTTTGTAAATTCCACAGAACAAAACCTTAAACTGCCATATGAAGGGGGATAGCAGACCACCTCCCACCACCCATGCTGGGAAGGGCGAGGAGAGGAGAATGCAGGCCAGCCAGGCCGGACAGGAGGGCCGAGCAGGAGTGGACAGAACTCTCCTCCTCACTGCCAGGGCCGCTGCTCCCGAGGGTGGCACCCTCCTCAGGGTCCTGTCCTACCCTGTCTACTGGCTCTAAAACGTGCCCAGCGTCGCTCCCTGCACAGCTTGAAAAGGAGCTGGACTCATCTTCCTGAGGTCTTCATGAGTGGAAAGCCTAGAACTCTTCCGCTCCTTATTCTCTATCAAGTATGGCTAGACGTGAAGACCGCTTACTTTAAACGTCCTACTTACATGATCTCAGACATTAGCTTCTAAGACAGTCAGCTTGGGACTTATTCCAGTCCTGAAAACATTTTAACGTCCCCTCTTTGTGACAGTCTGCATCAGCAGCCTGCTGCAGTGAAGGGCACAGGCCAGGCCCTGTGTGTGGCCCCAAAGACCCTGACTTTAGGGGCACAACGGGCACAGCAGCCACAAGGTACTGCTTGTGCAGCTGCTGTGGCTACAGCCTCTTCTGGGCCCCGGGTTCCCTGACAGCAGAGCCACCTGCCAGTCTATGCCAGGCCAGTCTTTCCCAGGCAGCACGTGTACACAGAGTCCCAAAGACTCCTCAAATCAGGAACTCAGGAACACAAGGTTCACGGAAGAGCTCTGACCCTGGGGGAGGAAACAAGGTGGAGAAGTGACAGGCAGGCTGTTACTGATGCACCGCCACGCGGCCGCGCCGTCTGAGGGGCAGGGCCCAGAGCAGGCCGTCTGGCCACCAGGAAAGCAGGCCTAGTGACACCTTGGTCACACTTTCTTCTCCCAAGATGAACCCAAGACAACGAGCCCAGTCCCCTATATGTGTTACAAGTTGAAATGTGTCCCCTCTAAATTCATATGTTGGAGTCATAACCCCTACATCTGACCCTATTTGGACACAGGGTGTTCACAGAATACGGTTCAAGTGAGGGCATCAGGGTGACCCTGGTCCAATGACTGTGTCCTTACACAAAGGGGAAATTTGGAGACACGCATACAGGGAGAACGCCCGCCACGTGAACATGAAGATGGTCACTGATGAGCCAAGCAGAGGCTGGAGCAGACTCCTCACAGCCTCAGAAGGAACCAACCCCACTGACATCTTCATCTTGGACTTCCGGCCCCCACAACAGGGAAAGTAAACGTCTGTGGCACTCTGTTACAGTGCCCCAATGTGCCGCCATGACACAATGTGTGCCACTCCTTCCCAGGGAGTCACTGGGGGAGTCCATCCCGCAGCCGAGCCTCCAGCCATAGGCAGATTGCTGAATTCTCTCCAGGGTGTCGGAGGGCAGGCAGTGGGCTACCTCATCCCCAGGACTGGTAGCATAACCAATCGGCCACGCCCTGGGGTAGCCCGCCTGAGCCTTCTGTAGGAACCAAGGGCCCCTCCCTTAGCAACAACCTTCTTTCATTTTGGAATCCACACGGGTGAATCCAGCTTAGGCCACAGGGCAGAGCTCTCCCCAGACGAAAGCTATGCCCACAGTTACCAGGAAGGCAAGGCCACGCCCTCCTCTGCGCTGAGATGGGGGCAGCTGTTAGAACGAGGGGCTCTCACGACCCCTCTGCAGCTGTTTGAAGTGCCCCAGGCACACGAGTGTGCACGGGCGTGTACACACACCACCGGCCTGCCAGCTTCGGCAGTTCCAGTGGGAAGGAAGGCGGGGGGGGGGCAACATCTGAATGAACCTGAGGCAAGGCCAGCAGCGCGGCTGAGGAATGCACCCCAAATACAGCCTCCCTGAGCAAAGAGCATCCTGGAGTCGGGCAGTCAGGCCAGTGGCGGAACTCCAGCCCCTTCACGGCCCAGAAGTGGGGAAGGTTCGGCTGGAGTGGGGTGAGGGGGTCGGATGGTCCCTAGGAGCAGCGGCCGCAGGCGGAGCATCTTGGGCAGGACTGCGCTGGTGAAGAAGGCGGTCAGGGGCCCCCCAGCTCGGGCCCCTCCATTCCCCACCCCACAGCTCCTCCTGCAGGGCTCTGCAGGCCCCTGCCAGCAGGCTGTCTGGAGCCTTCGGCAGGTTTAGGGGTCCGGCTGGTGCAGCTGCCGCAGCCCACAGCTCTGCCTCTGAGCGGGCTGCAGGAGAGGCTGTCAGGGTGGGTAAGACAGCAGGCACTGAAGGGGGCGTGGGGCTCTGCTGGCCCCCAGTGTGTCCGAGGTGGGCGTGCACAGTTAGCACAGGACAGCAGCTGCATGCTGAGGAGAGGGGCTGCTGGGAAGGGCTGGTATTGGGTCCAGAAGGTTCTGCTGGGGGGGTGTCTGGAGGTAGTGGAGGCACTGGGCGGAGCCTTCCGCTGGAGAGGCCTGAGGAGTTGCCAGCCCTGCAGGCCTCGGCCTGGCTGCGCAGGACCTTTGGTTTCGGCCGGGTGGGGGCCTTCTGTCTCCAGTAGGGCAGGTGTCTGTGGGCGGGGCCGTTAGCCCAGCGAGGCCCCCGGGGGAGGGCCCACGGCCAGGAAGCCTGGCCCTTTGGCCCAGGGCCCCGCGTGCGCCTCCCCAGCCGATCCACCTGGGTCCTCATGGTGGCCACTTCCTGAGACAGGCCTGCCAGGGCCGCAGCGAGCCGCTCGAGCTTCTCTGACAGGGCAGCGCTGAGGCTACGGAGCTCCTGCTGCAGGGAACTCCCACAGGGGCAGGGTGGCCGCGGAGAGGCAAGTGGCAAAGCCGGAGGGACAGGGGCCACAGGCGATGGCTCAGGCAGGCCTCTGGGAAGCAGTCTCCCGTTGGTCCTGGCTAAAACCAGAGCAGGGACGTGGGGTGAGAGCTCTCTGGCTGTCAGAACCCTTCTCTGCCCCCAGGGGTCCCTTCAGCTAGTGTGTTCAGCAGCCTGCCCCACTAAGGCCTGGCTTTAGATGGACAGAAGTGGCTCAGGCTTAAGAATATGGATGCCAAGGCCCAGGACATCAGAAGGGGCCATGTCTCCTGGCTGTTCCCCAAATTTACGGATGGGATAAACCACAGATTGGACAGTGGCCTTCCCACTTTCTAGGCAAAGGATCAATGGGTTCTTTGCGTCACCTCTGGGACCAAATGGCACCCCAAAACACCTAACCCTGCTCTAGGGAGTCAGTGGGCAGGGCCCGAAGAAGCCCCCACAGACAGCATGAGGCCAAGGCCACCAGCAGCCCTGGGAGAGGGCCCAGGAGGGCTAGTCCAGCCTGGGACCTGGGAGCTTCCAGTGCAGTGACCAGGGGGCTGTGTCAGCACCCAGTGCTCTTGATCACAAGCAAACCACAAGGGTTCCTGCCTGATTCTGACCTTTACCCTCCTTATTCAGAAGTTACAGACTCACAGAGTTTTAAGTCTTAAACTACTTTAAGAAAAAAATCATCTAATCCTTCATGCTAAGTTCCCTTGGAACTGGTCTCCACCCCAGGTAAACCTCACAAGAAAGCCCGGATCCCCCCTCAACACCGCTGACCGTGCGGGGCAGTCCTCCTCTTCCGCATCTCTCTGAGCCCCGCCTGGCTCAGCCGCTCTCCTCAGCAGCCCAGGGCTTCAAACGGAGGAAAGAGCGAGGACCCAAGTGCTGCTGGTCAAGTTCTTTAAGGAGGACCTAAGCTGAGGGCTAGTGAAGCTGCGGGGGTCACAAGTCCACCTCTAACTGAGGGAGGGGCGACAGGTCTGCCTCGGGCCAGCACAAAGCTCTTAATAAAACAGCTGCTCGAACCCACAAGCCAGTGACGGAGGCCCTGGAGGCCACGCTTCAAGCTGCTGACGTGAGGTGCTCAGTGCCCATCCTAGACTGACTCAGGAGGCCGAGCCCCAAGCCCTCCGTGCGTCTCCACCGTGGTCTAGGGACGAGCTTCCTCAGGGTCAGGTGCGATGCGGAACCGCGTCTCTCCAGATGCCCCTGGCGGGGCCCCTCAACACGCCTGGGCCTCGGTTTCCTCATCTATTCTCTAAAATCCCTTCAAACCCCAAGCTTTGGTTCTGGGTGTATCTATTCTGGTATACAGCTCAATTTCTGTTCTGTTTCTAAAAAGCACCTGTGCATTTACGAAAAAGCCAGCCACTTCTAGACAACAACACTGAAATGAAATAACCCGAAGTGAGTTCCAGGTGAGACTCTTCCTACCTGTGACCCCAAAGAGCCCAGAATGAGGTGAAGAACAAGCTTTCCCCACACTGTGCCCCAGGGTTCTGGCCAGCCCGCCCTGCAGGAAGGAGCTGGGCCTCGGGAAGGGCGGCTGGGTAGCTGTGCAGACGCTGACTCCCTGCCCACCCCTGAGCCACAGGGCTCCTGGCGACCTGAGGGGATGGGGGAGCCACCAGGTCACCTGCAACACTTGGTCTTCCGCTTCCAGGCCCCAGGCCCCTGGATTCTTCACTAACGCTGGGCTTCCAGGATAGGGACCCATGGGCTGGCCCAGGAGGCCGGCAAGGTCCCGGCCGGGGCTTTCTCTCCAGCTGAGGGGCAGGGCTGGGATTCACAGCTGCCTCTGTGGAAAGAGCACAGAGCACTGGGCTGTGGATACGCACAGCCTGGGCAGAGCCACGCTGACGTGCAGGTATCTGGACATGGCCTAAAAGAAACGGAACTTTCAACTTTAATAATGGTGAAACAAGATGCGAGATGAACACACTTGGCCTCTCAGGGAGCCCAACTCTGGCTGAATGGTTGGCTAGGGCGTGTGACGTGAGTGGGCTGATTATCTGGAGGGCTCTGCAGCTCTGGCATGATGCCTTTGGCTCTCCCTGGAGTGGAGGCCAGGAGAACAGGGGGAGGGGGCCACAGTCTGCAGCCCCCCACGAGGCTCCTCCAGGGATGTGCTGGGAGCACCCTGCGGGATGTGGGAGACTCTGTGGTCCCTACCCAGCCCACTCTGCTGTTTCCCGCCAGGCCCACTGGGCAGTAAAGAGTGTGGGTACAGCCTGGACCCGTGTGGAGGCCACGGACTCTGCAGAGCCACCGGCCTGAGTTCTGAGGAGCCCCCTTCCCCAACGGTGCACCCCACCCCTACCTCCTCCAGTGCTGCCCAGGGGGCCCGGCCGGCCCAGTGTCTCTGAGTGCACTTCTCTCCAGGGCGACTGGGACCTGTGTCCCGTCTTCTCTTCTCCTTTTCCTGCTGGGAGCAAACACTGGATCAGGCCTGGGCTGAGCAGCAAGGCAGCCTGGGGAGCAGGCAGCAGTTCCCACTTTCTTGGCAGGACAACATCTAAGCTTTCCCGAGTGGAGGAATCTCACTTTCGACACTTTTTATTTATTGCCAATTTTTTTTAACGTATACTATTATATACATACATATGTGCGTGTACACAGTCAGTACCTGACACTAAGCTTCTGATGCCGAGGCATCCATTTCAAAAGCCATCCATCCTGGACAGATGTCTTGCCAGCTGTATGACACAGCTACTTGCACAACCAGATACGGAAACAGGCCACCCCCACCCAGGAAGCCCCTCTTCCAGAAAGGCCTGGCTGACCCAGATAACTGACCGCTTCAGTGACCCCACTTTTCCCTTCCTGCTCCCTGGTTCCCGCGCCTATGCTCTAAATTGGCCAATAAAGAGTGAACCTGCCAAAAGCTAGGCACCCCACCCTCGACCCTAATACAGACAGAGCCTGGGTCTGCGCACACTTTTTCTCTATCTGCGACCTCACTATGTGGCCCTCAGGCATGCTCTGTACTCTCCAGGACCTGTGAATAAGAAACCTTGCTCTCAAAGTTCCCTGAGGGTTTTTGTGGAAGTGTGTCCTGGGATCACAGTAAGAACCACAAGGGTCGGCCCAGCCAGAACACTGGCCCCGCCCCCGAGGGGGGTGACAGGTGCTGGAGTGAGGGCCTCAGGCGCTCCTAGCTGAGAGCATCACTACTGATAGCCAGGGACCCACGTACCAGTACACACATGTACACATTACATACACATTATTAAGTATATGCAGCATGCATATGTTATACATATATGTATAACATATACTTACTAAGTTTATTTCCAGGCTTTCTAATTAAACACACTTGTTTAACACTCCTGGCGCCATGTGCGCCTCAACAGCCCATCTTTTTCTCTCAGACACAATTCATCTTACAGGGAACTCAAGAATGACCAAAGTAGAGAACGTTCTGGCAAGAGTCAGGCACAGTGACAGATGGGACTCAGAGAACCCAGTCTCGGGACTTGTGGCCCCCTGGGGGACACGCCCCCTCTCAGGAGACCCCAGGCTCACCTGCACTGAGACCACAGGGGTCCCTGGGCTCTGCTCTCCTTGGAACTTCACCAGGGCTGCTGCCAGCGGGGGCACCGCCAGGGCGCAGGGACGGAGGGCCAGGACCCTTGCAGCTGGGAAGGCGGCCCCTCTCTGGCATCACAAACAAAGCTGGTGTCAGGCGGTGGCCACACCCTGTGTGTGCCTCCCTGCCCTCTTCTCTCCCACACAAGCTCACCCTGCAGGAGCGGCTGCCAGAGCTCAGGCTCCAGCCTCAGGTCTTCTCCTTCGGAGCTGCTGAAGCTCGAGCTGGAGCCGGGGCTGGGGCTGGAGCTGGGGCCAGGGCCAGAGCCGGGGCCGGCCAAGCAGGCGAAGCGCAGGGGCCGCCCAGGCAAGATCCCCTTCAGAGAGTTCTCCAGGCAGTGGAGTGGGGAGGGCTTGGTGGCCACCCCTGGGCAAATGACAGCAAAAGAACCCTCTGTCCATCAGCCCAACGAGAGGCAGGAGAACCCTTTGCCTTAAAGCACAGGGCATGCAGAGCTGGTCCCCTTTCAGCTCAGCCTGGTCAGGCCCCTGGCTGGTTGGGAAAGCCAGCTGGGGAACTTTCCAAAAGTCTCAAGACCCTGGAAGTCACTAGTAGTCTGGTCCCAGCCAGGCCCTGCATCAGATGAGCCAGGCAGCCAGGACCAGCGGTCCAAGAGCGGAGATTCCATCACGTGCACAGCAGGTCCCCAAAAGCCAGTTCTTGCTGGTGGGAGTATTAGAAGTACCACATTTATTCAAATAAGCCAGATCCTACCAGTACCAGTGCACTTCAGCAGGTCTAGAAAGGACTTCTGCTCTCAGTTCAACCAAGCGGCTGCAGCAAAGGGAAACCCCTCTCAGCCCCTAGGCAACTACGGCAATAGAGGAACTCACCAGTCCTTCCCCTAGAGAAGCCCTACGGCCAGACAAAACCAGCGTTCTCCCCACCTTTGCAGCACTCTGCAGCACACCTCACAGCACTCCAGCCAGCAGTCTTTGGGGAATGCACACCCGCTACAGCATGCAGCCAGCAGTGCAGAGCACACCACACACCCACTCCAGCACACAGCTAGCAGCGTGGAGCACACTGCACACCTGCTCCAGCACACCTGCTCCTGCACGCAGCCAGCGGTGCAGAGCACACTGCACACCCGCTCCAGCACACCTGCTCCTACACACGGCCAGCAGTGTAGAGCACACTGTATACCTGCTCCAGCACACACGCTCCTGTGTGCAACTAGCAGCGTGGAGCACACCGCATACCCACTCCTGCATGCGGCTAGCAGTGTGCAGCACACTGCACACCCGCTCCACCACACCTGCTCCTGCACGCAGCTAGCAGTGTGCAGCACACTGCACACCTGCTCCACCATACCCATTCCAGCACGTGGCTAGCAGCGTGGAGCACACCGCACACCCGCTCCAGCACACTCGCTCCAGCACACCTGCTCCAGCGTGCAGTCAGCAGTGCAAAGCATACACGGCACACCTGTTCCAGCACACACTGACACAGGGAAGGAAGAGAGGAAGGGAGATCTATCCTCTCATCAAAGATTCTATTGAGAGGGAACACATGCCAGTAAACACTGGGGCAGATGTCAGCTCACCATCTTGGAGCCACCTCCCGGGTCCCGGCCTGATGGCCCCATGGTCTTTGAGCCCTCGCTGACAGCAGGCAGGGACGCTACTAGAGGTGAGAGCCTGTGGGCTAGCCAGCTGGACGCTCCTGGTGGGCACTCCCCCGCTGCGCTGTCCTAGACGGGCTGGCGCACAGGCCTCGCCCCTCAGCCCTGTTTTAACGAGAAGCCAAGAGGCCTGTCAGCCCCATGCTGGCACCGAGGCTAGGAAGTTACTGGACATAGGACTTCTCAGGCACACCAGCTGCAGGTGTGAACACTGGCCAACTGCCGGATATCCCAAGGAGTAGCCCAAGTCCTCCAGGATCTCTTTATTCCCAGACCCAGCTACCTGGACTCCTGGTAGCCCCACAGCTCAGCGACTGTGCAAGACACCAAGGCACATGGGGCCGACACAGCTAGGATCAAAAGACCCTCTGTTGCCAGGGCCCCGGCTGGGCTCCGAGCGGATGGTGGCACTGGGTGTCCTACCCCGACGCCCCCACTGCTCAGATGCCAGCAGCACGCTCTGGCTTCCCGGCCTCACACAAGCCTCTGGCCACGCCAGGTTGGAGCGCCTTCTCAGCAGGGGTGGACATGAGCCCACAGCTGCCGGGAGAGGCCATGCCAGGGGCGGCCGCAGGGGAGCCACCTCTTCCTGCTCCCAGACACCCGGCAGCCGTGCTTTACCTTCCGTGTCTGCCGTCCAGTTCTTGGCCTCTGCTCTCCGTGGCCCCCTGTCCCCTGCCGAGGACCAGGACCAGGCAGGCTGAGGCCCGGGCACAGGTATCTCTCGGAGGCAGTTCTCCAGGCCCTGGAGCGGGGAGCTTCCCACTGGGCTTCCTGTGAAAACCCAACGTTCACAGTCTTGGACGTCAGAGCTCAGTCTCTGTGAACCCCAGAGCCTTGCCTGTGTCCCGTGTCCAGCGCAGCCGGGGCCATGGGAGGAGGCACAGAGCACTGGACCTGTTGTGCCAGTTCAGGACACCCGGACCGAGACCTGGCCCTGAACACACGTCAGTCCCAGCTCTGGGCGGCCCTGCTCGGGCTGGCCCTGGAAGAACCCAACCTGTCTCGGCCACCCACACAGCAGCCTGCTCAGTGGGCTGTGATGAGGGAGCTCGGCCACCGGCACGGGGCCTGGGCTCCCTCAGGACACCTCGCCTCGCCCTTGTGAGGGATGCCACGGCACAGCTTCACCCACAGGACGGCCCTGAGCAGTGAGGGCTGCCTCCACTACTCAAAGAGGAAGCACTAAAGGCGCCCTCACCTCAGGGTGTGAAGTAGCAGCTCGAGAAGGCCAACACTAATGCAGTTTCAACTTGGGAAAAAACAAACCGCAAAATTCATATTTCTATTGACAGAGCTGTGGAAGCAACAGGAACTAGATGAACCGAAATTCTAGAAAAGGAAAGGCGCTTCCCACATGAGCTGACATCCCTGGCCATGTTCTTTCTCAAAGGTGCTTGCTGGTGCAGACAGGGCAGGCACAGCGCAAGAAAAGAGAAACCCTGAGAGGTCCCGGCAGTTGTGTGGGGCTGGCAAAGGACCCACTTGAGGGACCCCAAATGCGGTTCTCCCCATAAGACATTTGCTGAGTTCTGGGAACAGAGGGAGCTGGGGAGCTGGGCTGGACGCTTCTCAAAGGCAGCGTGAAACCTCGTGCTGCCTGGGTTACTTAGCAAACAAAATCCATCAATGGAGGACACACAAGAAAGACATGTGCTCCCTTCTACGGCACACTGTGCAGCTGTCAGAGAGAAGGCAGTGGCGCCAAGGTCCAAGGAATGTCAGATGAAAAACAGGAGGGGAGCAAAGACGAGCATGAAGACCCACAGCAGGGGGCGAGGCTGTGTGCAGAACGCCGCCAAGTGTGAGCACACCAGAAGCCTGGCCATGGGGAAAGCATCTCTGCAAGGTGACGGACTCTCAGCAGTGGTGACTGAGGGAGGATACGGGTACTGGAGGGGAGGGAGGCAGACGTCACTTTCCTTTAGGACCTTGTGTAGCTTTTGAACAGACCATATGATTATGTTACCTGCTAAAAACTAAACCTTAAAAGTTGGCTGTGTTTGGGGAGGAAAAAACCCCCACAGGCAAGCAGCTGACCCCTGGAATGGTACAGGAATCCAAGCCGCATGGGACACTGAAAGGCCCCAGTCCTGCCCTACAGGCCCTGGCTGGCCTGGAGCAGAGTCCTGGGCAAGCTCTAGGCCTTTCCAATGACAGTGGACGTGGCCAGAGCACAGAGGCAAGCACGGGGACCAGGCATCTGTGGACAAGGCAGACCAAGAGCACTCTGCTTATTCAGGTGGGAGAAAGAGGTCGAGAGGGGACCCTGGACAGTCTCGCAAGATTCTAAAGAGGTGACAGCTCAACACAGATGCTTCTACATGGAGGGACCCAGAAAAGACGCAGGTTACCAGAAACAATCTTCAAGGTGGTTTTACAGGAACCTGATGACGTTTTTTCCTAAGTTGAAGGTCAGTCTGATGTTACAGGAACTTACCTCTTTGTGGCTGGCAGAAGAAAGAATTTGACAGCGAATGAGGCCCATTTTTATTCTTTAAGAGATCTTCTGAGCCAAGCTGCTAAAACAGACCCCCCATTGAAACAGGTCCCGTGTCTGCTCCCGCCTTGCCATCCCCAGGCCTACTCCTGGCACTGGGCATGGTGGCCTGACTTGGTCGGGTCAGACACGCTGGTGGCCAGGGGGCCTCCCGTCCTTTCCCAGGACCGACTCCCACTTCAGGCCGGCCAGCTCACCTTTTCCAGGTGGACGTACTTGGCTGCTCTCAAGGCTCTGGAAATCCAGGTCCCCATCCGTGCTGCTGGACGAGGAGAAGCTGGTGGGGGTGCCGTGGAGGGCTGGGAGGAGGGCAGGGCTGTCTCTCACAGAGCCCTGCAGGCCCAGAGCCAGAAGGGGCCCCATGGTTGCCTCTGTGGGAAACAGCACAGGAAAGCCACTGGGGAAGAGGCCCCCTGGCCCTGGGCTGTGGAAGGGTGCCTAGACCTGCCCCAAAACATCTCCCACTGGGGTCTCCCCTTAGGTGAGGTGCTCATGGTGCTGATTAAAATACCAGAGGATGTTACCCACGTAAATCCAACCACAGTCTGGGGGCCTGGAGGGTGAGTAAGAGCTCTCAGAGAAGACAGGGCAGGAAGAGTTTAACCAGCTTCCAGCAAATTCGGGAGCTGTTTGGGGGCAGGCATGAAAGTGGGGGCTAGGGGCAGAAGGGCAGGCATCTCAGGAGGTCTAGGATGAGGCAGGCCAGGAGGGAGGGACCCTAACACTGTCCTAAGCATCCCCTTGTGTTGCGTCCAGGGACAAACACCACCCCCAGCCCGAGGCACAGTCTACCTTTGCTGTGTAATCCAAGGGGCTGCAGCTGGGGCCTCTGAGACCCAGGGTCTCCTGGCTGGGGGCTCCGAGACCAAGAGGTGGTCGGCGGCTGGGGAGGTAACGACCCACTCAGGGGAATGCCCTTCAGACAGGCCTCCAGGGCTTCCAGGGCTGAGCTCGAGGCACTGCCGGCTGGGACAGGGGAGACGGCCCTATCACCACCTCTGGCACGTGCCCCTGGCCTGGCCCCAGCCTCCGCTCTGCAGGGGTGGCCAGTCCTGTACCAGGCGTGGGGGCCCGCCAGGCAGTGCACCCTTTTGTGGGGGACTTTGATCTGTTCTTTGCTCCTTTGGGGGAATGACACAAGCTATACCCCCAGGCCCCAGAGGCAGGGTGGAGAGATGCACAAGTATGTACTGGCCAGCTCCCTGTCAGTCAGGAAATCTCTGCAAAATGAAGGTCCTTACGAGGGACGGGTCCCTGGGCAAGGGCCTAGATTAAGGAGGACATGGATTAAGAAAGGCGATTAACTGCCTGAGGAGGACGGCCGGCGGACGGCCTCCCTACCGGAAACAGGCAGGCACTCGTTCCCCTGGGGGCTGAGGATCCCACTGGGAAGACTCGAGCAGACGACCCCAGGCCTCACCTTGAGCCACAGGGACCCAGCTGGGCACTTGGAGCCCCCTGCTGTGTCTATCACCCCCTGGGCCGCCAGTGGCAGCGGGGCTGTGTGTCCGCTTGCTGAGCTGACAGGATGCAGGCGCTGGGGGGCTCGGGGCCCAGTCGTCCTCCATCTTCACAGAGAGCATGCTGCCAGCTCCAGGACCAGGGCTGCGCCCTGCGGGAAGCCCCCCATGAGACCTTTAGAGGGTTGGGAAGGGGCTTCCAAGGCCCCTGGCCTCCACAGCAGTCCCTGGCCTGGGATAGTCACCGCTCAGTCACCAGCAGATGAACCGACCCCAGGCCCCGTCCCACCCCAGGCCCCTCTGGGGAGCCTCCAGAGGATTCTGCTCAAGGGTGCCAAGACAGCCCTCCCCAGACAGCACCAAATCAGGGTCTCTCCTCCACGGCCAGCACGTCCACGTCAGCTCAACTTTCTCAATGTCCTGAGAAGCTACCACGCGCGGGTGAGCTGCAGTGTGTGGAAACGCCACCCCAGCCCACACGAACGTGACAAGAAGCCCTACAGCAAAACCATGCCCCGGATATCTGCTGGTAGAGCTACATCTTTCACTCTCAGCCTCTCTCCTCCCAAACATCCCTTCGTTCCTTCTGAAACTCTTAACTCCTACCGTAAGAGCCAATCTGGAAAATTACCACGTACTGACGAAGCACTTCCTACACACCCACCTCCATTTACAGTGACAATCCCCAGCGTATGGCTACTCCAACTGACACACCAACCATGTGGCCTGAGGGTCTTATTGTGGAGGGTCACTTACAGCCCTGCTCGGAGCAGGGAAAGGAAATGGATGACACCGGGGACCCTCCCAGCCCAGCCAGTGGCCTTTACCTCCAGAATTCCTTTTCCGGGCCCCTGGATCCTCCGGCAGCTGTGGAACCCCTACTCCTGAGGGGGTGGGATGCCTGAGCTGGGCCTCTGGGATCTCCTTCAGACAGTTCAGCAGACCTTGGAGGGGACAATCCCCTGAAACTGCCTCCGACTTCACTATAGGAAACAGGAACACATTTTCAATCTGAGCCTGGTGTCCTCAGTCTTCATGATGAACAACGAAAAGCAGACAATCCAGGTGAGCAGTTAAAAGGAGTCAGGGCCAGAAATCTGGAGAGGTGGGTCTCCTTGTAGCTCAGTCAGCCTTGCACAGGCCACTGTCTTCTTCGTGCTTGGTTTAACGATGCTGGTCAACATCCCTCTCGGAGCGGGACGGACAAAGGCAGGGGAATGAGAATGTGCATGATATGGGCAGCACGGTGGTGTCTCTGGGTACAAGGAAGGAAGGGGGCTGCCTGGGTTGCTCCTGCAGACAGTGCTCTGGGCCCTGGACAGAACTTCCAATTGAGGAGGACCAAGTTTTTTACAAACACATGTACACACAAGTACATCACAGTACCCAGGACTCACAACAGCCCTCTAAGGTGAGAACAACTACCCCCTTCTACAGATGGGGAAACCGAGGCTCAAAGACTTCAGGAGCCTTTCACAGTCTACCCAGCTAAGAGGTGCTCGACTCCAGGGCTGGCACCCAATCCTCTAAGTCCACGCTAAGATCTCACTTAGCATCAACCTGAAGTGACACTCGCTGGCATCTCCTCCCCAGAGGTCTCACATTAGGAAGAGTAAAGAACACAAAAGAATCCAGGGCAAAATGTGTTTTTGAGTTTTCTTCTTCTAGATGACCAACTGCTGTTCTCCTAAGAAAGCCACCTGGCTCTAGAAATATGACACAGATGATACTGGAGCAGCCAGGTTGGGAATGATCCTTCAGGAAGACATTATATTTATAGACAAATATCTATAGAAAGGCATTCCAAGCTTTTCAGGGGCTTCAGAAACCTTGGCCTGAGGACACAGGCCCCCAGGGCCTTACCTCCCCAGGGCGGGCTCCCAGGCTCCAGCTCTGCCCTGGTTAGCCGTGACAGGCCAGGGACAGGAGGCAGTAAGCTCGGGGACGCCTCAGGATGCTGGGGCCCAGGCACGAGGATGTCCTTCAGGCAGTTGATGAGGCCTTGCAAGGGGCTGTTCCCAGGAGAGATTCCTGCGGCACCTGAAAGATCAGCCAGGGTTAGTGCAACCCTGACGGTGGCAGCTGTGGGACACTCGCAGCATCTGAGGTTTCCCACCTGTCAGAACAGGGATGACGCCTGCCTCTTAGGGAGAGCCACAGGACACCCTTCCATGAACCACACACACCTCCATGTCCTGCCTCACACAGCTCAAGGGCAGGCCTCACTCTCAGGAAAGCCAGCCACTCACCTGGCGCCGAGGTCCCTCTCTCCTGTTTTCTGTGGCTCTTCCTCCTGCCAAGGCCACAGGCGGGAGGGCTGGGCTCCCTGACCGGGGTTCGTGAGCCTTCCTCCTCTTCTGGCCTCGGTCTGTCAGCAGTTTCTGTTGCAGGAGAGACAGGAAGGCCTTTCTAGGCCTCCTAGATCTGGTCCCCACAGAGGACAGGCCCCTCCAGCTCCCCAAATCCCTGGGGGGCAGCCAAGTCCTGGGACCTGAACTTGTGTCAGAGCCAGCTGCTGCCAGGCTTGTTCCAGGAGTGCAGCCTGAGGCAGGTGGGGTCTGTTCCCTGTGCCCACTGGTGTAATTGTAAATACCAAGACCATTCACTCTCAGTACCCCAGACCCTCCCCCAACTCCAGCCTCCGACTCTGGCTCAGCAGCCTCAACACGCAGGCCCCAAGCTTGCACTCACGCTTCTCAAATCTGGGCACTTGGATGCCCAGAGCACATCTACTGGAGACACCTGAAACCACGGGCTAAATGGATTATGTCTTTCCAGAGTGCCCATTTTATTCCTTACCAATTTAAAGTATTTTTAACAAAAATATCCAGACAAACGCAAATTTTACAAGAATTTTTAAAAATAAAATGAGACCCCAGAGAAATTCTAAGGGCCACCCCCGCCCTCCACTGGTCTTAGTGTTGCCTTGACAACATCAGGGAACCAGATCAGGTGCGCACAAGTACATTACCTGCCCACAGCCTGCCTGCTAGAAACCGCCCTGAGCCTACTGTGCATTGAGCACACAGGCCTCGCAAGCAGGGCCAGTGGGAGGCCACCCGGGGACCCAGCATCACGCCTCCTCTTTGGTCAACAGACAGAGGCTGAGCACGTGTCCTGCTCCCAGGGAGCTTGATCCCATTTAGCAATGAGGGAAACTAAGTCCCAGAGAAATTGCAGAGGGCATGGGGTCCCCCGCTGGCTCACACTCACTGAGCACGAGCGGGCTTCCCTGTCCCCGGGTTCTGGACGGGCCGCTGGATGACGAGCTGCCGCTGGGCGTAGTGGCCAGGCTGGGCCGGCTGACAGGCGTGTCCGGAAGGCAGTCGAGCAGGCCCTGAAGAGGGCAAGTCTCCATGGCCACAGCTGCTGTCAGGGAGGAAGGAAAGAGCACCCAAGCCAGAATTTAAGCCCAACAATGGGTAAAACGCCCCCAACACTGTCCCACCCAGGCCCTTCCTTGCTGCATTACACTAAAAACGACCAGGACGTCAGTAACCGTTGTGTTGTCATTTGGCTCCAAAACATAGATTCATAGCCACTGTCTTATTCTGATAAGATCCCTCCCACCCCCACTTCCTGTTTCATTTACCATCAACTGAGCAGACTCCAGGGAACCCTATGGGCTAGGGCTGGGAGGTCAGACTTCCGAGGAGGTGAGGCCTGAGCTGAGAGCAATGAGGGAGTGAGCAGAGCCCAGGGAAGGAGGGAGAGGCTGGGGAGGGGGGAAGAGCACCAGCTGCGAGGGGCACCTGGGTCCCCACTGGCTATTCAGACAAGGCACAGCTTCCTTTTCTTCATCTACGGAACAAGGACTGGCCATCCACACAGGGCACAATGCAATGGGGCCACGAGCATGTGGTTGAAGCCACGTAGAAACCACTATGAGAACAGTCAGAAGCTGCTGTCTCACAACCATCCACATGCTCTCAGAGGGCAGGAATGCCACTAGGGCGGTCACGAAACGGCCCACTCTGCCTAAGGTCTGGCAGGGGCTGGGTGGGCACCCAGTGCATGGCGCTGCCCACAGCCTGAACTTGATCTTGTAGAAAGTGAGGCTGCCCTGCTGTCCAACTCACCCTCGGGGCTCGCCCGCTCCCCGTCCAGGCTGGCTCCCCCACTCTCGGGGCTGACTTCCCCGAACAGGAACTCTGGGATCTCCTTCACCAGCTGCACCAGGGCGGTGAGGTGCAGGCTGTGCTGGGGAGTTCCTCCTGCCGGAGAGGCCACAGTGAACCCCCAGCTCAGCCTGCAGGCTTCTGGGCGCGACTTCACACCAGCATCTCCTGTAATCCTCCCCCCACGTGAGGAGCAGCAAAGGAGAGACCCACGTCCATGAGACAAAGAGGACCTGGGCTCAGGCCACGTGACCTGCCTACCGGCACAGTCAGGACTAGGGGCTGGGGACCCCGAGTAACTGGGCTCTTTCATCCTCTGTCACTGGTTGTTACTCCCTGAGGGGAGGCTAAGGAGGCTGCCTCCATTCCCTCCCACTCCGGGCCCTCTGCCTCTCCTGGTACCCCTAGCCTCCTGGCCTTACATCCACCAGCTGAGGTCCTGGATGTCAGCCCTGTGGCAGGACCTTCAGGAGCTGCAAGCCAGCTCTGCATGGTAGTGGCAGGAAGGGGACCCAAGGAGGGGATGCTCTCCAAGGGCAACCCCCAGTTTCTTCTGAGTACTTCAGGCAATGGGCAACAGTGTACCAAGCTCCCAGCCCCAAGGGGTAAGGGGTTAAAGGTCAGGGAGTGGTTGGGGTGGGGAGGGTGGCAGGTGGGTAGGGCTGAGGTCACAGTGTCCCCTGAGGAGTGGAGCCAGGGGCTGAGGATCACAAGGGTGGGAGGGACAAGAGTGAGCCCACCTGGACCCAGGCTGCCCAGGGGGGCCAGGAGGCCCAAAGGGGCCTGGCCCTGGTCTGCCAAGAATTACTCACCCGAGGGGCCTTCCCTAGCAGGCTCCTGCCCCTCATCAGCACTGCTTCCGCCTCCCATAGCTCCTCCAGGCTCTGTGGGAGACAGGAAGGCAGAGAGGGGAAGAAGCTCAGCTGTCCCTGGGAAAGAAAAGGGAGACAGTCATCCTGGGAGCGGAAGCTGGCCTCTGCCCTCCTACACACAATCACACGCTGAACATCCATGCACCTGTTTACATACGTGTTCATGTGACTACTCCAACCCCAAGACCCATGAGTGTCAGAGGCCCGGAGACCACCAATCTGTGTTTCGCCAGCTTTTGAGCATCCCACCAAATTGTACCCAGAGCCCTAGTAAAGTCCACAGAAACAACAGTGGCATAAAAGATAAGCCAAGCCCCCAGCTCAGCCTCACAGCTCTCGGAACGCCACCTCAAACGCTGTTCATTTTGTAGATGACGACTAAGGCCCAGTGGGTCCCAGGGTCACATGGCAGCTCAGGACCCGCCTGGTGCTGGATCCTGCCTCCCTTCCACTTCTCAGCCGGAACTCCTGCCACATCTGCTGCCGCTGCCTCCCCAGAAAGGCCAGGGACAGCCAGCTCCTTACCCAGCGAGACCAGCATCTCATAGTTCTCCCGCATCACGTCGCGGTAGAGCGCCCTCTGCCCCTCCCCTAGGAGCCGCCACTCCTCCTTGGAGAACCACACGGCCAGGTCCTGGAAGGCGATGGACACCTGTGGGCACAATCTCAAGGGAGTTGGCTGGTTCCAACCCAGGAAGGCCAGCCGAGCTGTCCTCAACTTGGTGACCCAGCCTGTGTCTCCTGGTGGACACCTGGGAGCAGGGAACAGTAAGAGCATGGGGTGAGGCCTGACACACGGGAGCAGGCAAAGGAGCAGCGGGAATCTGTTCAGGAGACAGCGGTTGGGGCAAGACTGTGTCCCGGAAAGGATATGCTGAAGTCCTCACCACAGTACCTGTGAATGAGACCTTATTTGGAAATAGGGTCATTACAGATGTAACTAGTTAAAATAAGGTCATACTGTAGTAGGGTGGGCCCTTACCCCAGTATGAGTGGTGTCCTTCTAACAAGAGAGAGACACAGACACACAGGGAGGAGAGGGCCACCTGACACTGGAAGTGATGTCCGAGTGATGCTGCCACAAGCAAAGGAATGCCTGAGGTCACCAGAAGCTGGAAGAGATGAGGAGGGATCCTCCCCTAGGGCCTTCAGAGGGAACATGGCCTTGCCAACACCTTGACATGGACTTCTCCCCTCCCACACTGAGAGAGAATAAATTTGCTGTTTAAAGTCCCCGGTTTGGGGGACTTTGTTATGGCACCCCAGGACGCTAATACAGACAGTCTCATACTCTGCAGCCTGGGCCCAAGAAAAGGTTAACCCTAGGATGGGAACCCCAGCCAGCCCTATATTCATCATGTTAGAGATTCACTGAGGTTAACAAGCAAACTTCCCTTTGAATGTGCAAGGACCTGGGATCCTAGTAATATGGCATTAAAAAAAGTTTACAAATAAAGTGAATAACAAGTATGACAAAAAAAACAAAACCACTCCATACTTTTTAGTGGAGATGATCCAACATTCAGGAATCAAGCAAGTAAAGTGTTTACGTTGCTCCTCCAGCCCCACCCTAAGGAAGAGTGTCCCAGCCTTGCAAGTCCAGAGGAGGCAGAGCCTCCCTCACGAGCACAGACGGCTGTGCAGGTGGTGAACAAGGAAAACCAGAAGCCGCACACCCTGCGCAGCCACACGCCCTGGGCAGCACCGCACCCTGTGCGGCATTCGTGGCGCCTCGATCTGCATCCAGTCCTCCAGCCGCTCTTCTTCTTCAGACGCTCTGGCCAAGCAGGTCGTCTCCGGTTCCGACTGCTCTGCTAGACTGAGACTGGGCTGGGCTGCACCTGTCCTCACTTTCCAGGTCTCATCGGACCTCCACGGCCCTGGCCAGCCATGGTGATCTCCACAGCTGTGACCTGTGGCCTTTGTCACCGAGCCCACGTGGCACATCTCTACAGAGTCCCTGCAGCACATGGACACACCACTCCACAGATGACACCACTGAAGCCCATCCAGGCCGCAGTCCAGTCCTCACCATCTCGCTACGCGCCCCCATGCCCCTCCCTGACCTTTCACCCTTCGCCCCTCTGGGCTGGAATCCTGGTACACCGTTGTCCATTCCATCAAGAAGGGCTCAGAAGAAACCTGAGGTCACCCTTGGAGAGCATCCTCTGTTACCCTAGAGCTTTTTAAGATAAAAGAGACATTTCTGTCTTAACTTCTTTAAAAATAGTCACTAAGTGGGCTTTAAAACAGCCAGCAGACCCTAGATGACCAGCACCTGACAGGGATGAATTTTTAAATTATGGCAAAAATTAACTGGGTGCAAATTAAGCAAACAGAATGTAAATTATGGGAAGGTCCTTCTGGTTTAGAAACAAAGGCTAAACTATTTCTTTGTAAGAAAAAATTATTCAATAAAATCAAGACAGTCCTAATAAAGCAAAGAAGATAACCTACTGCCTTGTTTCATCAACTCAAGTCAGTGACTTTAAAAACTCTCACTGTTAACTAACTCTCGGACTTGTCACTGATAGCATCTGCTCCCCACTCTGCCTGTCACCCTCTGACAGGTGGCACCACGCAGTCACACCCACCAATGCTCCACTCTCCTTCTGAACTGGTCAGGACCACGTTGACACCCCCGGCTGGGGGTACCTCCCCACTGACCACCTGCCTTTGGTCCCAAGGCCTGGAGACCCGCAGGTGGTCAGACCCCTCAGCCTTTTCCTCCTCAGCTCACCATGTGTTTCTGACCACCGACAGCCTGCTCAGCAGGCCAGCAGACTCTCCTGAATTAACCTCTGCCCTCTGGCCGGGTATGGTCACTCCCTCTCAGGAATGCACTTAGACACCCTCCAAAACAGCTCTCCAGGAGCCACTCCCATTTCTTCCTGACCTTTGGACAGACAAAAAGACAGCCAACGTTAGGGTCCGCGCAGATGGGCGAGCAGAGCAGGCCTGAGAGGGCCATCCCTTGGAAGGCCTGCACACAAGGCTGGTGTCAGGCTGGCGTTGGGGAACTTGCATTTCGGGAGGGCTCCCACAGTTCTCTAACTGATGAGGGTGGTTTATGGGCCCAGACTCCTTGCATGGTGCGGTCTGTGCTGAACATCCGCTTTCCTTCTGGAACTTTGGGATTTTGGTCCATGCCAGGTTTAGGCCCTGGGCCCTGAGTCCCTAGTGGCCCTCCCTGGTAGACAACATCTCAAAGCTGTTGTCACAACTGTTGCTGGAAGAACTGAGCACAGCCTGTGTGACTCCATCAGAAGGGGACCCTGGAAGCTCCCGCCTGGCTCCTCCCGACATGGCCCACATGCCTGTTCCCTGTGCTAAGTTTGCTTTGTGCCTCTTGCTGCATTAAATCACTGCTGTGAACACAACTATATGCCAAGTCCTGAGAGTCCTCCTGGCAAATCTCTGACCCGGGGTGCTCTTGGGGACCCCAACACAGGGTCCCATCACACTTCCCAACAAGACACGAGCACTGTGCCCCACCTGTCTCCTCTGGCAGGGAGGCCTCACTGCCCAGCCTTGTTCCACCTTTGCAACCTCATCCCCCACCGTGCCTGGTGGCCACTGCCTTCCCCCCCAACATCCACAGCCCACCTGCCTTGCTCTGTCCTCTGGTCCTCCCTGCTCTTCCCCACTACACCCTCTTCCTTCTCTCCCTTCCAGAGTCCTAACCCCAGCAAGGCTCAGGAACCCCACGGCTGGTGGAGCAGGGAGACCCTTCGGTCAGGGAGTCCCCATCTGCACTGCAGACCTGGGAGCCTCGGCTTGTCCCAACAGGCCCAGGGTCTGAATGGACATGAACACTGTTTGTTGGCTGAATGTGCACGTTTTGCTTGAACACTTTGATGACTATGTTTAGAACTATATAGACGCTGCTGGGATGAATACACGTGTGTCCTTTAAAGGTAATACTGAATTTACCTTAAAACACATGGAAAGACTACAATCTAATATACTATGTACGCAACTATGTGGGGCCCAGGGAAGTTTTCAGTGTTAAGAAAGGGGGTCACAGAGTCAAAAAGGTTGGAACCCCCCTATTTACAGTCCCATTCTCTCACTGCTGCAGCTGAGGAAAAGAGGGAAGGGGGCAGGAAAGGTCCATACAATTACCTCACTGTCTTTTCCTACCTGCACAAATATTTATTAACTCCCACGATGGCCAATACACTAGGGCAAAATAAGGTGTCCCCAGAACCTGGAAACGAGTCACACCAAGTCCCATGGGACAGATAACCACCTGGAGGAGGGGGCCGAGGGATGGGGCAGAGTTTGGAGTGTCCAGGTCCTCGAGTGTGAGTGTGAGTGTGAGCGCACAGGTTGGCCTGTCAGAGGCTGGAGGGCAGACTGAGGGGCTGGAGCAGAGAGCTGACTGGAACACTCACGAGTTACAGGCACTCTGCCGGATGCCAAGGGAGCGAGCGTCACACAGGCTCTGTTCTCAAGGGGAGCAAACGTCAGCAGAGGTGCGATCTTACACATTTTAGAGCATTTCAGATCTTTCATTTGATTCACAAAATAGGCGCGTGCAGCCACCTGATCAGATTCTGTTACCCTCATGTGTGGACGAAGCTTCTGACGCACGGAGGGATGAAGCAGCGTGCTGAGCCGGCAGACAGCCACAGTCCAAGGCCAGGACTCAGGCCTTGGGACTGAGATTTTGGTGCCCTAACTGCTGTGCTTGACTGCGACTCTAAGACACCAAACATCAAGCATCCAATTTTTTAAAGTTATTATTACCCAGGAAAGTTTGTATAGATAGACCAAGGGGGTATCTGTGCCAAACATTATCATCCCTAGTATCTTCTTAATAAAAGCTAACATTTGGCAGACATTTTTAAGGAGGTGATGGAGGATGGGGAAGGGTCCTGGGTACAAAGAGATGCTTCTGTAGCCATTGTTGGCCCAGCTGGAGCAGGGAATGGGGAGTGAGGACCCACAGAGCCAGGTGGTAGTTCTGCTGGAGAGCTGGTTCAACTCAGCAGACAGGTTCTTTGTTGAGCAAACCGAGTGAGAAACATCGTGTCCTCAGCTCCTCCCAACAGAAGCTATCTACAACAGAACCGCTGAAAAAACAAAAGGGCTTTGAGATTCAAAGGATTTACTTCACAATTTCCTTTCATTTAGGGCTGATTCCCCCCTCATCCTAGATCTACTAAATCACAACTAAGTTTAGTGCTTTCAGAGCCCAGAAATTGACACTTTCAAACTTCTCGGGTGATTGTGACACCCTAAGTTTACAAGTGTGGGGAGAAGGCAGGGCTGCAGCTCAGTCGCAACCCCTCTCCTCTTCCCAGGGGCCAGTTGTCCAACATGGCACGCTTGTGAACTAGAAATCACAGACAACTGCTTGTTGACCTTCAAAGAACAGTGAACTTTTAACGTCAACTTCCACCCAAAATGGGATGGCTCTTCAATTTCTACTTGAATGCCTTTGATAATGGGTGGCTCACTACATTCCCAGCAGCTGGTCCTATTGCTGGCAGTTACAACGTTCTGGACACACAGACAGGGGCAGAGCATGGGGGTTAGGGCTTGACCTCAGGAGCCAGGCTGCTGGAACTCCAATCTCTGCCTTGCTTCATACTAGCCACGGGACCTGAGCAAACCCATCTATGAAACTGGGATCATAACAACCTATCTCCAGGGGATGCTGTGGAAACTAAGTGAATTAATATAGGAAAAGTACCCAGAACAAATGCTGGGATGCAGTAAGTGCTCTGAGTAGTATTACTGCAGCCACATCTGTCTGCCTAACATCCACCTGCCAGTTACAGCCTGCCACCTCCAGCTACACAGAACGGGCTCTTCCACACACACTGCTGCTGACCCGAATGCCTCTATCTCCCAGCTAAATATAGCCAGCTCTTTTAGACATCCGGAAGAGATGGTTTCCAGGCCTTTCACCATCTTGGCCTCAAGACAAACCCTTCTGTGACAAAGTTCCTATAACATGGGAATGGGAACGACTGTGACCAGGATGGGCGGTCCAATCAGTGCCTCCCTCTGCCCAGAATAAGCAGAGGAAGAGTGGGGAGTGTGTGTATGGGAGGGAGTGAGCAAGCATGAGTGTGCAAACACAGGCGCAAACGCTGGCTTTTAGGAAAGGGAAACCCACGGTCAGCTTGCAATCTGGACCCAGTGTCTTCCTTAGGCCCACTTGACCCTCTTTGTGGCTCTCAGGCCTCCCTCCCTCAAGCAACAGGAGAAAAGGTTTCTGGGCTGATCCAGGATTGTCGTCACTGAGCAGCCATCGAGCCCACTGCTGCCATGCAGTCCTCCTAAAACACTCTCTCTACTGTGTCACTAACCCAGCAAAAAACTGCCACAGACCCTGCCATCTTTATGGTCCTTCCCAACCTAGATTTCCCAGCATGCCTTGGGCTCCCAGGTCAGACCCTGCACCCTGCTGCCCTCCACCTATGGGCTGTGCTCACCCGCCCCTGGGCTTCTAGGAGTCTCACTAGACAGGAAGACAGGAGGCCTTCCCTGTTCCTCTTCATCTGACTGTGACCTACCACTCCCCAAGACCTGTCCTAGCCACCTTCTTCAGGAAGCGACACAGTGTAAGGATACACCCTCCCCAAAACATCAGATCTGAGATCAGTGGTCCAATCTTCTCATTTTTCAGAAGAGGAAACAGCAGTATGAGGAGGCCCTAGTACAGGACCAGTGGGCATAGCTGAGCAAGGGTGTCCGTGGGCTGCTAACTGGACAGCCAGAGGTGCAAAGGAGGCTGCCCTTGCTCCCACCACTCCAATTTTCCCGCCTTCTCTCTTCTCCCAAGAGCTTGCAGGGCATTAATGACACCACAGTGCTGGCACAGTGCCTGCTCTGCCTGGCCAAGGACTTCCCCCAGCCACTACCCCAACACCGCCCCTCAACCATGGAGTCTACAGTTGCTGGAGGTACGACCGAGCTCATGAGCTGCCCCAACTACAGAACAGGCTCTCAGAAGAACGTGCAGCAACGCCCCACTGGTATCATCACGGTTCCTGGCTCCTTCACAGCCCCGCACACAACCCGCCCAAGCTGTGCCCAACTGCGACAGCTAGGGCTCTCCCTCGGCTCTCAGATCTACACACCTCACCTAGAAGATAAAACTTGGGACCTTGTTCCCTGCACCTCCCCCCAGGGGTCCAAGATCCTACCAAGAAAAAGTGTCACTTTTAGCCATTCCCCTGAGGCTTTCATACTCACCACTCCCAGGATAATTTAAAAGAAGCCACGCCAAGGGAGGGCGATGCTTAACCCAAAAGAACGAGTTTCCAAAGGTGGAGAGACGCTCCACGTACATGGATACTCGCGGGGGCGTGGGGGTGGGTGCCGGGAGTGAGGAGCCGGGCAGTAACGGAGGGGGTCGTCCGAGGACCTGCACTCCTCGGCACGAAGTCCTGCACACCAGGCCCGCCCGGCCCGGCACAACCCCATGCCAAAGTTGGGGGTCCCAGGCCCTTCCGCCCCTCCCCCGCCCCCGGGGGCCGCAGTACGCCTAGCTGAGCAGACGGGCCCAGGCGTCCGTCCGTCCGTCCTCCCCTGCTCGCCTTACCTGGCGCGCCATCCCCGGGCTCAGCCTCCGCTCTCAGCTTCCGGCGCGCCCCGGGGCGCCCGCTCCCCGCCCGCAAGCTGCGCCGCGACCCTCCGCGGCGGCGGCGGCGGCCGAGGGCGGCGGGGGAGGAGGCGGGGCCGGGGCGAGGGACGAGGGGAAGGGCCGGGGGTGGGCGCGCCCCGGCCCGCCCTGCGCCTCGCCGAGCTCGCCCCCGCGCCTAGCGACCCAGGAGGAGTGGGACGCTTCCGCCCGGAGACCCTCGGCCTCGGCGGCCTACCGAGCGCAGGCGCGAACTACACTTCCCAGAGAGCGCCGCGGCGCCGTCAGGGGGGCGTGGCGAGCCTGGCGCTGCCTGGTCGACGCCCACCTCGCCGGCCAGTCTCTGCCCGCGACCTGAGGAGGCTGCCCAGAGGGACCTGGCGCCCAGACACGCCCGGTGGCCAGCTTGCGGTGTGCTTGCCGGCGTGTACGCATCCATCCCTCTGTCTCTCCACCGCTCCTTTCGTTCCTGCATCAAGCCTTTACTTAGCGCATCCTCTGTGCCAGGTGGGGATGCTCGGAGGAAACGGGACCTGCCTTTTCAAGAGGGCGCATCCGCTACGCTGACCGTGGCTGAGGCCGCCCGCGAGGGTGGGGAGAGCGGGTCCTGAGGGGTGGGGAGGGGGTTGCAGGCCGGACGGTGCTGGTCACGGTCGTGGGTGGGCCAGAGTCAGACCCCGGCGCATCCTCAAATCTGTCACCCGCTTTCCTCGCTCACCATAGCGTTGACCCGTGTGTCATTATTTTAGGTGACTAGTTGCCGGTCTATTTGGTTGACTGTAGTAACCTCGTAAGTTCCTGGCACGTCGTAGGCCCCCAAATAAACGTGTGATGAACGAATGAAGCGTGGGTCCTACCATTCTCCTGGTCAGATGGGACGCGGCGGGGTGGGAGGGAGAGTGGTGGGCGCCCAGGGAGAGGACCCCGGCTGAGCTCAATGAGCCTCATTCCTGGTCTGGAAGAAGACCCCCTGTTAGAACAGCTCAGAGAAGATGGGTATATGGGGATAAATCTCCTCAGCAAGACAGCAACTTGCAGGGGTCCAGCGAAGAGGAGGTGCCTGCTGCCCAGAGAGCCCACTTCCTCGCGGGCCCCCTCCCCCACAGGGTTTTTTCCTCTGGAATATTTGGGGAAAGGGAATTTTTCTCCAGCAGTCCCAGTGTTGGTCCCTATAGCAGCTCTGGCCTGCCATGCGTTTCCGCTGGCCTTGCTGCTGGTCACCTCCCTGGGGTACACAACCAACATCGTTGGCCCGGCCTCCGAGGACAGGCGTGAGGGGAGATCACTGTCAATCACGCACAGCCCCAAACCTCCGCGAACCCCCTCCTTCACGCCTACCGAATCAATCGCTGGAACAGGACCGGTGTGTGTCCCCCGAGGATTTGAAGATATCCCAAGGGTTTCAGGACATGGAAAACGAAAACTTAAAGTTCAGCATCTGATCTCATCATCCCTAAAGGCCACAGCACCTCGTGGTAAGTCTCTTGTCTGTGCTTTGGGCCTGGTGTCCCATCTTCTTGCTGGGGTGGACCTCCTCCCAGTAGGGTTCCTTCTCCCAGCTCCTCCCCACGCCGTACCGTCAGTCTCAGGGTGCCTAAACTTTAAAATCCCTTCATGTAAGAAAAAAAAGTGGCATCTCTGCTCAAGAAAGACGCAGCCTTATTTCAGCATATACAGCATCTGGACGCCTTTTGACTGACTTCCCTGCCACCAGACTTTGGCTCCATTTATAGACTTTGGGTCAGCAGTTGCTAAGAGCCATTCTCCAACATCCTATTTCCTGAGTGACCAGTTTGCCAAAAATCAATTTGCTGAATGGCGAATTCTCCCAGTTATTGAGAAACCTCCCTTCTATCCTCCTGCCCCCCCAATTTGAGTTGTACCTCTGACCCGCTTCCTGTATCCACCTCTGCTTCTGTTTCTGCATTTCAAAATGATTGTGGAGAACTGTCCTAAATTCAGTTTAAAGTATTTATTTGACAGTTCTGGACAGGGACAAAGACAGGAGCACTGATGAAACAAAATTTTTAAAAACTCTCAATAATTCAAATTGGTTTTTCAGCAAATTGATATTCAGTGGTTTAACTTTCATCATATTTGGCTATCTGGTCATTTTGTGAATTAGCTTTTGGTGAACTAGCCAGCTATAGTTTTCTCCAAAAAATTAGCTAGCATCCTCTAAAGGTAAATGGTGCTGTCCACTCCTCCAGTGAAAATGGCTGCAATTTAAAAATGTTTTCCAATTTTTATTGTTTCTTTTTCTATCCATGAGGTTATTTAATTTCCAAATGTATGGATCTTTTTAAAAGTTATCTTTTTGTTTGTGAGTTTTGCCTTCTACTAAGAGAATATAGTATATGATGTTGATTTTTTTTAGGATTTTCTGAGACTTGCTTTGTGGCCACATGCAATAACTTATTGATTGTGTTATTTATGTGTTCTACATCTCATCATTTTTTGCTTTTTTGAGCTATCAGTTACTGAGAAAGATGTGTTAAAACTGCCTTTCAATATTGTGCATTTGTCAATTTCTCCCTGTATTTGTCAATTTTTACTTTACACATTTTGAGACTGTGTATAAAAGTTTTGAATTGTATTTTCCTGGGAACATGTTCATTTTTTATTATTGTGAATTAACACTTTATCCCTAATAATACTTTTAATCTAGAATCCATTTTATCTGACATTGATATAGCTACACTAACTGTATTTTGATTAATATTTGTTTGATATATCTTTTTCCATCCTTTTACTCCCAAACTTTCTGTATGTTTCAGGTGTGTGTTTTATAAGCCTGTAGATGGATTTTGTTGTTGTTGCCGTTTAATCCAATATGACAGTCTCAATCTTAATTGGCAGATAATTCATTTGCATTTATTGTAATCAGAAATATATTTTTATTCATTTCTACCATCTTATTTTGTGCTTTCTATTGATTCTGATTTTTTTCTGTGCCTTTTTCTCCATTTTTTCCCCTCTACTAGATTGATTAGTTTTTCTTTATTCACCTTTTTCATTCTACTGATTTGAAATTTTTGCCTTTTCAATGCTTTTAAAATTTTACACACAGATTCGATTTAATATAGTCTAACATTAATCATTATATCCACCCTCCGTCCAAACAATGGAAGGACTTTAGCGTGTGACTTTAATCACGTAATTCCCCTCTGTCTTGTGTGAAATTGTTCTGTGCTGTTTAGATTTACCAACATGCTTGCCACTATCTTTGTTCACTATTTTTTCTCTTGCCTTGCTCTTTTCTCTGGGCCTGGTTTTCTTTCTGAAGTACGACTTTTAAAAGTTCTTTAAGCAAGGATGTATTAGAAGTAAATGTTTTCAGTTACATTAAGATATCTTATTTTTTGTCTCTCGCTCCTAAATGATAGTTGAGCTGAGTAGAGAATTCCAAGTTAGTCATTGTCTTTCACACTTTTTGTATTTTATTCCATTGTTTCCCAGGCTTCATTGCTTCTGTTGAAAGTCTGCTGTCAGTCTAATTATTATTCCCTTGTAGTGGTTTGTCTTTTCTGTCTGGCTGCTTTTAAGGTCATCCTTTGTCTATGGTATTACGAAGTTTTGCTGCAATGAGCCTAGGTGTGGACTTACTTTTATTTTTCTTTCTTGGAACTCTTGATGCCTAAATCTAAGGTATTGTGTCTTTGTACAAGCCTGGAAAATTCTCGGTCATTAAATCTTTTAATAATGCCTCTCCTCCTTTATATTTTCTCCTTTTGGGATTTGTATTTGGCATATTTGTTGGAACCTTTTATTCTAGTCTCCATCTCTCTTAGCCATTCTTTCATATTTTCCATTTTTTTAAACCTTGTGTTTCATTCTTGGTAATTTTTTAAAGATATATATTCTATTTCACTCCCAAATCTTTCTTCTCTCTGTCTCTGTCTAATATGCTGTTATACTATTAATTTCAGTGATTGTATTTTTCATTTTAGATGAATCTGCTTCATTTTTTTAAAAACCACATATTCTCATATATTCAATTCCCTTTATCTTTAATAATTTTAACCACACTTACTTTATAATGTCTATCTGATAATTCTGCTATCTGACATTCTTTATTTTGTTCTATGGGTGTCACTCAGGTCGACTGATTCCTCGTGTATTTTATTATGTTGAATTGTGACCCCATCCTAAACCAGGTTTTATCAGTGGGAATGCTGTGTGGCCTGGTTTGGGGGTGTGCCCTTCAGAGTCTGTGTTTGCTTCTGTTCTCCAGAATCATTATTAGCCTGGGCATATTTTTTTACGTTAAATTTCAGCTGAACCACATAGGTAGGGTAAATCCAAAGCCCTACTAAATGTGAGGATAGATCTATGGTTCTGAATTCTCCTCTCCCCACCTCCCTCCCTCCCAAGAAAAGAAGGGCCTCTTGTCTTCTTGTTCTAGTGTTTTGCTAGCCCACTCTTTTGCTAATGGAGCGGCTCTCTACGAGTCTGATTTTATATGGAGCAAAGGGGATTCCAGGTCTAAGACCTAATCTCCTGGACTCACACGGCTATTAAAATTCAGCACCTAAGTTATCCCACCATAACCACCACGGGCATCCTCAGGGTCAGTTCAAATTGACCTCTCAGGGGTTTAGTTCATTCCCCACCCCCAACTCCAAGATATTCTTTACTGTCAAAAGAGCTCAGCTGTACTGATGAACAGATATTTGTTTGCATTCCTGGGTGTTTTGAGGTAGGAGTTTTAGATGATCTAGTCTAACATACTTCTGATAACAGAAATCCTTTTGTTTTAAAATAGCACTCCTCTTTTATCTAGCTATCATTATCATTCCCCTGACCATTTCTTCATGTGACTGCTTTGTACACCACAGACTGTTTTCTCAGCTCTGTCTTTCCTATCTGACGTTGAGTAGGAATCAAATATGTCTTGAGTGAATGCATGATTCCATGGATGAACAGATGAGTAAC